TTTGATTTCTAATTAAATTTTAAAAGGAATTCATATAGAGGAAAATGCTCTCAGCCACTCCAAATGAGGGACAGTACAGCGGCAACACTCTAAACGTAGATCTTGGGGGGGGGGCAAGCATATATATATATACCCTTCTATATGTATGGTAACTATTTGGTGTAGAGCTACATCACTTGAGCTCAGCATCCTTGACCTGCACAAAACGTATGGCGACCCCAGAACTGACGAAAAGTACTTTATCCTGCTCAACTTAACATCGCCTTGTAAAAAAGAGCAGCATGGGTGGAAGGAGGGAGTGCACAAGATCCAAGTTTTGAGTGTCCTGCTTTATTCCAGGCTTATATACTTTAGGAGGACACCCCACCCTGTAATAGTGGTATAATAAGAATATAAGAGGACCCTAATATAATCCCTATTATCCCTTATAGTCACTATTACAGGGTGGGGGGTCCTCCTAACTTATACTGGACGTATCCTTACCCAGCACGCTTCCTGGCAGTGCTTCAGCCATGGCATCCGTCAGGATCAACTCGCGCCTCCGGATCCCAAGAAAAGTCAGGAGGTCATGGTGAAAGTGCTCCTGCTGCCAGGCGGAGGGGAGGGATCTTAAAACCAACCAAACTCTTCTGGTTTCGAGGTTGCATGGCTTAGGGTTTGGTTTCTGCTTCTTTCATTGGGTGTCGGAGTTTTCTAAATGTATTCAGCTCTTTGTGGTGTGCACTCTAGCTTCGGACAGTTGTCTAGGCTGATTGTGCCATTTGCACCCCAGGCAATGGCATCCTGGGTTGCAGCACTGGTTTGTGCCAAGCATTGCATGCCACCTGTCAGTACCTTGTTCCATGTTTACATGTATTACAATGCTTGCATCCACATCATCCGCAAGACTTCAGCCCTAAGAGTAGAATATGGGGTATGTGGCGATCTTATTATAATATACCCAAAGCCATATTCTATCTACTTACGGGGGACTATATGTCACCTATGCCACATTGCAAAGCTCCCGAGCTTCCGGGCTCCAGCCTTGATTGCAGACCCCCCCCCCCTTGTCGGATTGTTTGTAAGGCTCATGACCCTTTACAGCTTCCAAATCACAAGCCCTGCCGAACCCACGAGGGCGCGGAAATCCTTCACAGGTTCTTATACACTGCCCAGCGCTGAGGGTCCAAGTACCAAGCGTTTTTTAAAGCATTGTGGGGTATTCGCGCACTTGAGAAAACCTTAAACTCCAAACCCATGGATCCTCAAACTCTGGACCCTAAATGTCCAACTGCCTAAACCCTAGGTACATCCCCCAAGCCATAAACCCTGAATTTCTAAGCTTACACCCTAAATCCCTAAACCTCCAAAACTCTGAATCCCGAACCCTAAATCTCCAAACCCTAGACTATCGTAGACCCTAAAATCCCCAAACCCCATACCCCGGACCCCTCAATCTCTCAGCCCCTACACCCCTAAATCCCCAAACCCTTAAACTTGCTCCTTTATACAGACCCCAACCTACGATCATCTTTTTTATGGAGACCCCAAAAAGGCTAACCCCTAAACCCTAGACCCCTAAACCCTAAACCATAAACCCAAGTTTTGGAACCCCCCCCCGCATGCAGGTGTCCTGAACTGTGAGATGGTCCACTGTTTGGTGACGAGCTCAAAGTTCCTATGGGTTGCCTATAAGGACCCTAACAGTTAAGCTTCTGTATTTAAGAAGGAAGAGTTTAGGGTTCCGGCTTGGAGTTCAGGGAGTTGTATGCTTCAGGCACAGGGCAGTGGTGATTTTATCCTAGGGGCTGATGGCCTCTTTGAAGGAGTTTCCGCGCGCCAGGGGATTATTTGATTTCTTGTGGCATGCAAGGACTGTATGGGGTGAGAAGGGGAACAGATACAGAGACCGCCAACGAGACTTAGTTTTATGCTCCATGCTTTTGACTTGTTTGTCTTCCGGGAGGGGATCCTCTCCTCGGACAGGTACTGGGGCAACCATTTTTGGTGAATGGCTTGTTGGGATAGCTTTTGGTTGCAGGGCGCTGTGAATTCTTGATCATGCAGACTCTGGGCTGTAGACTTAAGGGAACCTGTTCAGACCTACAAGCCCTAAACCCTATAGTCCCCTTAAGTAGATAGGATATAGGGTATATGGGGATCTTATTATAATATACCCAAAGCCATATTCTATCCGTTAAAGGGGGGACTATACCCGCATTTTGGTTCGTCTAACAAAACTGGTCCGCATGTTACAATTTTGCTCTATATGGGGAGCAGTACTTCAGGCAGACTCCCTGATCTTCTTTGCCTCTAAACATTGCGGAGTCAGGAATCTCGAGTCTTCTGACCTGCAGCTCCTTTGCCCAATCATTAGCTTGGCCCCCACAAAAACCGCAACGTCGACACTTATCCCAAATCCCCTATGGAATCCTGCAGAGGGCCCCCTAACATCGAACACCCTTGCACAATCACATAGTAGTTTCCATTTTCCCATTATCCCAACATAACCCCAATAAGACCCCGTTATATGCTAGTAAGAACAGTAATGTAATACTAGTAAGAATTCCCATTGCATCCTCAGGGTCCCAAAGTAACTTGTTTCCGCTGTGAGGCCGCCACAAAAGATCAGCGCATCTTCACCAAACTGGTGCCTTTGCTGAAGACTACGATCGGCGCATGAGAAAGATATGAGCAACACGCCGATGCACCCTCAACAATTCCTGGACATTGTCAGCATGTGCTATGGTTTTTGTTTTTCGTTATCTATCCACATGTTCGACCCTGCTAGTTTTTAGTGTGGGGTCTTTCTACGCCGATCTACTAAACTTTCGAAAGCCCTTTGGGTCATGTTGGGGTGTGGAGGTTGTGCTGGTCTTCAAGAGTTGGCGGTGGACGGGAGAGGTATCCCCGTTGGTCAAACAAAGTGCACATCAGTTTGTGAACATCTTCCTTAAGGGTCCAAGTACCAATAATCACATACTTACCCAAAGCCTGTACTACTAATACTATTGACCAAAATCCAAGTACCTAATTATTGGGTACTAGGACCCTCTGGGTTTGGCTAGCTTCAATCAAGCGGCTTGGAAATTGTGGGCCGCATCTGGAGTGCAGATGGCCAGCCAAGACCTCAAAGCCTACCAGAAAGTCAAGATGTTGTATGTCCGGCTATCATTCTTACTATTCTTACTTCAACTATCATTTCTGATCTCACTGGTCCTATGTTTATCACGAATCTTGTGATTCGCGCTACCTCAGATTAGCCCCGCTGAAGTTTTTCCAGAGTCTTTTGGCTTCTTGGCCTGCCATTTGAAAACCCCTAAACCCCTAAACCCTAAACCCTTAACACACCCATGGGCAAACGCACATGCCGTAAATCCTGTCATTGAAGATCCACCAAAGCGGAGTCAGAATCCTGCACCGGAGCAAAGGTTTAGGGCTTAGGGTTTATCTAGGGTTTAGGGTTGTTTAGGGTTTATTCAGGGTTTAGGGTATATTCAGGAGCTAATTTGGGCTTGGTTTGTTTAGGGTTAAGGGCTTGGAGATATAGAGCCCATTTTATCTACAAGCCCCGCAACCTTCAATCCCCCAATCCATAGACTCTACGCCGCAAGTTCCTACCTGCAACCCCAAATGCCTACAGTTGAACAGCAATCCGCCTAACTAAAAAGTATTAAGCCATACAACTGCAAGTAGTTGGGGTTCCGGGTAAACTCCTAAAGCCCAATCTCCCAAGCTCTGTAAAATTATCAGGTGATCCATGCGCTCCTCAAGCACCTGTGGCAGGCCTTCAGGCAGGTCTGCCTGCAGTCAAGCCCTAAACCCTAAATCAGGTAGCAGGGTTCAGGGGGTTTTAGTAAGTAGGTTAATAACCCCTATTTCCAATTTGAATGAGGGCATTCAAGGGAGCAAATGGATTTGTATGGGGGCTGGCATCTTTCGAGATTTCACATAGAGACCCAAGAGATATACAGAGATATATTGCGGTGGGGACTTTGTGATTTGGAATTATATATGTTTTCTGTAATGTGGCCATGTTGCTTCAATAGCTTATAAATTACGAGCGTTAGCCTTGAACAAATGCACAGACCGTGTTGTGACGTTGGGCGATGTCATGAACTTGCAATAGCAAAAGTGAAGCTTGTCACGCGACAATCATCCCAGGTTAAGTCAAAAACATGACAATACATCTTGAGTGCATTGCGTAACTACTCACATGCAAACCAAGGTGGCTACGGTAAAGGCAGTGTATCTGGCAACAGTGACCTTGTTTCGGCCGGCACAATTGTTGAGACACACTCTGCTCAGTCTTCCAGCTAAGATTCAGGACTAAAGGTTCAGGTTGGGTTTGACGTTGGTGTCAAAGATTGCCAATGCTTTGTTGTGTGGTCCATTTTGGTGCTTTATCTCTCGTTGTGCTTGGCGCAATGTACCATGACATTTTTTCAGACCCAACCAAACTCGCATGTTTGGAGGCCGATGTTTCTCATCGATCTTGGCCACCAGGCAAGCGGGAGCATGTGCAAATTTGCCGGTATGGCTAACATTGAGCTCCTTCGGCTCATACCACACGTCTACCAGGACCCTCCTTGTACCCTTTAATTATGGGTATATTATGGTCCCTATTCAGGGTATATAGAGGGTAGAAGGAGGGTCTAGGTAGACCCTGCAAGAACTTGTTGCGAACCCGTGTCCTAAACCGCTACCTGATGGATCCTGGACATCCAGTAGCCCAGGTAAACCCGAAGCACCAAAACCTCGTTCATTTGCTTTCTACAATGCTGGAAGAGTACTATGACTTTTGCTATGGGTATTTCCTTACTCTCAGTACAAATACGAGTTCTACTGCTCCTACTTTTGCGATTATCACGATTATTAGTAAGGATTATTATACCAGTAGTATTATATAATAGAGGAAGTTCATCCGACTAATCCCCTGAATCGAGCTTTCTCATTCTTTCTGAATATGAGCTACTGACAAGATTAGGCTTACCAAGGGTCCGTGAAGGGTCTACGGGCTTAGGGTTACCAGGTGACCATTTTATAAGGGTGGACAAACATGTCCCATTTGTCGTTTAGTCTAATCCCAAGTACAGTTCACAATAAGAGCCCATGTCCATTAGCTATATGAGAAAAATTGGGTTAATAAGGGAGATAATTCGGGTTACTATATAGGTTTTGGGGGTTATTAACCTGCTTACTAAGTCCCCCTGACCCTCCAAGTAGTTTCCCATAGACCCCAAAATTGTATAATCCTTGCTACAGGGGCCCCGAAAAAAGGCACCTGGAATTTTGGGAAACTTCCAGCATCATGGACTACGCATCACCGCCCAACCCTAAACACTAAACCCTTAAATCCCTATACTTGCTTTGCAGATCCTCGCGAACGCGGTGATCTGTTGGTGGATTTGGGGATCTGGTCAGGCTCGCCGCTTGAGTCCTTCTTTGCTACGCTGCTTGGGGTTTCCATGCTTGTGAACTCAAGTGGCTATCTTCGTTCTTTCTTACAGTGATGCAAGACTGACAAGACTGGCATTGAGGCAGAGGTCGGATAGTCAGATGTAGCCATGATCTAGGCAAGTTGTGCAGTGTTTGGAGTTGTGCTTCTCAGGAGGAGGTTATCTGCGTGTGGTCTGTTTCCGGCGAATACTTTGTCGGCTGCGAGCTGTGCAAGAATTGCGGGTTTGAATGACAAAGTGTTGGCGTGCAGGCTATACTACGGCCCTTTCGTGCCTGTCAGCTTCGCATATCTTCTGCGAAAATACCATTATCATCCCAACAATGATCTGCCGTCAAGCCTGTGGTGAGAAATGACCTATCCTCTTTCAGTGGTGCTCTACAGGATTGCTTCATTTTCCCATGAACAAGAAGCTCAAGTTGAGACCCTGTCCCTGCATGACACATGGCCAGAAAGCCCTAACCAGAAAGCTAAACGATAAGCACGACGGCCATGCAACAGGTCGAGTCCCCTAAGATTCTGAGATGCGCGCTGTGGCCTGGCTTGGGAGCATCGCTTCGGCTTTGGGGTAAAGAGTTCAAGATGTAGACTGCGGAAAGGGTGATGGTATACATGTTTACCTTCAAGACCTGTGAGCTCTTTTTTTGCATGCATGTGTGAAGTAGTGAGCGCACCTGGAGGGTGCCGCAACAGCACAGAACAGAACAGAACAGAACAGACTGCAAAGGGTAAGTATTTGGGACGGCGGCTACAGCATTCAAGCTACTAGGTCCTCTGGGGGCAGCTGTTGCCTGGCAGTCAAATACTAAGGTCCTAACTATGGGCTCCTCAGATGGGCCCGTACCTGTTTTGCTGGGCCCTAATTTCGGGCTCTTAATATGGGCTTCTAGTGCTACGTAGTGTACATATAGAAGCTATATCAAGAGCCCTGGATTACGGGCCCATGCTTAGGACAATGGACCAACCCCCTCAAGTCCTGCAGCCTTACAACCTAGCGCCTCCGGCACTTTTCTTGTTCTGGGCTGCTGAAGCTTGATATTCCAGTTTTGCCCATTTCTCCCTTAAACCCTAAACCATAAGCCCTGAGCCCTAAACGCCAAATCTAGGCCGTTTGTCATAACACTTGACCCCAACCTGCTGTCACTCTCAGAGAAAAAGCTGGATGCGCAACGAAGCTGTGCTAGGAGGGATGTTAGAAGGGCGAGCCATAGAAACTTGACACCTAAACACACACACACACAAAATAGATTTCGCTCCCCACACCCTATAAACCCCAAACCCTGAAGCCTCAACCCTTTAAACCCTAAACCCTAAACCAGAATCCGTCGGCTGCTCGAGGTGGGGTCTCTTGGCCTCGGAAGGTGTATCGGAGTGCTTCACCTTCGCCGCTTAGCTATATCAAAGGGTCCAAAGTACCTACATGGTACGAAGTATGGTTTCTGTAGTAGTAATTTCCCTTATGGTTTTGGTAAGGATTCCCCATATGAGTACTTAGGACCCTTTGGGTATATCATCTTACCAAAAGGGTTTTGGGCTAAGGGTTTAGGATCCAACGAGTTGGTCCTTGGGGATTGGAAAATCGTAATCATAGTACAGGATTTGGGCAAGTACATGATTATCAGGCATGTGGACCCTTAGCAAAGGGCAAATGTCTTTGGAGCAGGTACTTGGATCCTGGCCGTCCTTCCTTGCTTTGGCTTTCTTCTTTAAGAGGTAGGCTATGAAACCCCAAACCCTAAACCCTTCTCTTTGCGCTTGGCGTACTGCGGTGTGAAAACACTCTGAACATGCGGCGAATGCAAACTTCCGCATACTTCCCAGCTTCTTTCAGTATTCCTGATGTTTCCTTGCGCTGCCTAAACCCCAAACCCCTAAACCCCAAAACCCTAAACCGGTAAACCCCAAACCCCTAACCCCTCGACCCCAAAACCCTATACCCCTAAACCGTTTAAACCCCAAAACGCTGAGCACTAAACCCGTAAGCCCCCAAAAAAACCCTGAACCGCTAAACCCTTAACCCTTAAACCCTGAACCCCGAAACCCTAAGCCCTTAAAACCCCAAACCCCAAACCCCTAAAGCCCAAACCTCTAAACCCCTGAACTAAACCCCAAACCCTAAACCCCTCAACCCTAAGCCCTACCTTGTTTTGGGTGTGCCAAGTTCCCATCATTTCGCCACATTGCTTTCTGGCCTTGAATGTTTCAGCACTTGAGGATGGAGATGGGACATGGGGAGTTCCCAAAATTACTGAAAGGAGGCTTTATATGGGCGATTATATGAAGGAGCATTATTCCAAAAATTAGGGAAGAGCTTTGGGTTTTAGGGTTCAGGGTAGTTCTCAAAATTTGGATCCTTCTTGGTGCCCCCACATATTAGGCGCCGTAATATATGCTATAAGCAGAAGGTGGCAACAATTTTGAGAAGAACCTGTGTCTTTCCCAGATCTCCTTTCGTACATCCTTATGCCATCTTAAACCTTGTGCATCCGGCTGTGACAGAGCCCCAAACGCCTAAACCCACAGCCCTAAACCCCAACTCCAGACTTTCGGCTAAAGGTTTGGACGCTTGCGCACGGCTACAAGCGACTTAGCGTCTCGGCGGCAGATCTGCTGTGGCTAACCGGCTGGTTTCGACGCTGAAAGGCTGAAGTCACATACAGATTATAGGGCCTGTACATAGCAAGATGTATAGTTCAAATATGGGTTATAGGGCTACCATGGTGATTCCAAGGTCTGTATAGGGGTTGTTTGGTGATTCTAGACTTTAGGGATGAGTTGGGACAGGATTATCTTAGGGATCCAACTAGCCCAAAGTAGGTATGACTTATAGACTTTAGTGGCTGATGTAAGTATTCGTGATAGACTTGGATCCCTATAGTGTTCCAGAGGGGTTAAGTACCTGCAAACTAGATGCCTGGTTGACTGAAAGGTGGGTGCCATGTCGGGCGCCAGTCGTACGATGCAGGTACTTCCAAAGGGTCCAAGTATCCAATATTCATATGCTTACCCAAAGCTTGTACTTCCATTACTATTAGTCAAAACCCAAGTACCTAGTTATTGGATACTTGGACCCTCTGGGTTTTGTATCTGGCCAGATCCTAAAGTGGCTGATCAAATAGCTTAGATGAGGCAGATGCGCAACTTGTCCAGTCAAGTCCAGTCTGCAAGTAGGGCACTGGCTTGCACAGCGCAGCGTCATAAGCACAATGTTGACCCGAGCGATTACCAAGAAACTGTATTTCTGCACTTCCCCCACAGAAACGTAAGACTAGACCTCACAACCCACAGGGTCCATGTAGGCATATAGTATATACCTAGGGTCCAATTTGGGGCCTAGGTATAGACTATATACCTACATGGACCCTTTGGGTAAGCTCAGTGCAGTGATGCCGGTCCTGGCTGTGCTAAGGTTTGACTCTTCTCCTCCGCTGGGTGAAGCGCGTGCCGCGGCTGACTTCAGCAAGCGTGCATAGATGGCAACTGTGAACAAGAAAAGATTCCCCAATAACACGCTTCCTTGGCGTAGCGCGGTAGGTCTGAAATTGGGACTTCAAAAGAAACATTACGCCCTGTTTTGGCGTGCCTCTGTGTGGAGTACGGAACTTGGGTTCTGGAAGTGAGACCCCGACACATTTGTTTTCAGGACTACTCTACCCTAAGGGTCCAAGAGCCCAAATAACAGGGTTTTAGGGCCAAATACCGTTGATAGTATAGTAGTTGCGCCCTAAAACCCTATTATTTGGCCCTTGGACCGTTAGCGGTCAGGAATGCCTTAACTGAGGCTGCGGCACGAGCCGTTGTTGGCGTCTTCGCGCTGGCGCTCGCGGTTGAGACGGCTGTAGAGTTCCAGCCTGTGGACAACGGCCCCTGTGACTCTACAGTGGTGTTTGAAAGCTATGGATCCCTTAGCTACTGTATGGTGATCCCATGTGATCCCTATCAATGCGAACAACAACTTGTTTGTGCGCATATTATCGAGACATCCTGTCTTTGTTACATTCCTATGCTTTGTGGTTGTTTGTGACAGTTGTTGTCTTGATTCTGAAGGGCAGCTTGTTTTTTAGGAGTGAGGACACACGGTGCACTGTTGACTGCGGTTGCCGAACCTGAATCTTACTATCTGTATGCTCATAAAACAAGTGCATGGCCGGCTTCAGTGTGGCCCCGATGGATACAGCGGGTCTAGACTTTGAGCTCACACCGGCGCATCATCCTTGCAGACTGGATCTCCATGTTACATGTACAATTCTAAACCATCCCTACTTACCCCCTTGTTTATCCCTGTATAATGAGTCTTACATGGGCTCACATGACATAGCCATCTCAGGTTCGGTACTGCTTTCCATCAACAGCTTGCTACACTGGCTGCTCATTCTCACCGAGTGGGGCGCTTAGTGCCAGCTTTTTTTTGTCTTTCGCAAGTGTCTCATGATTTTCATGCTACCCCACCCCTAAGCCCTACAAATTTCTTAAGGGTGATGGGTGGTAGAATTTTCGCTGCCTCTTCACATCAGGCTTTCAAAACTCTACCTGCAGCAGCAGATGGCAGGTCGCCAAAACCACCATGTCTTGTTTTCCACCTGGGCCTTTCTCAAACACTCCGTAATGAGGACTCATATCTCTTGGACCACCTCTTTCCAGAAACGCCCATTTCCCTTCTAGCAAGGTTTGCACATCAATTTTGGCAGACAGTGTGCAAAAAATCACGTGAGGTGTCTTTGTCTTCCATCCTAGTACATGCTGGCATGAGAGCCGTCTGCTTCCAACGATTGCAGAGCGCAATAAAGCGAAGACTGCTCGTAGGAATAGAAACCGTCATAGTAATAGCATGCACGCTTAGACAGAGGTGGCTGCGCGAACTGTCAAGTCAAAGTACCATAGACGCGTCTATGTCTAGCTTGTATAAACCCCAAGTGGTATGAGAGTCTAGCCTGCTCCAGACATGTTTGGATTGTTTTTTCTCCTTATGAACTATTTGTAGCTTCTAGTAGAGCTATAACCCTAGGGAAGTATTAGACATATTATTGTCATCATACAGGTCTATTACTGACATAAACTGGCCAAGTCGTTGGGCCGCTGTTTAGTGTACAGATTGATCTCCACCCCTGAGGTACTATGTATGTACATATATATTTACACCTATATACATGTCCGTGGGCTGCAAAAAGCGTCGTGTTCTCTGGCAATATGCATAAACACGCAGGCTCAGCCTTATGAGCACCTGCGAAGAAAGCCCAGATGTCACACCAGAATTGTAGCGGACATGGGCATCAGGAAGCTTCCCGTGTGCCTATTCCTTATTTTCGGTTAGTAGGGAATACTTGCAGGGGCGGAAGGACCTACTAAGCAGGCGAACAATGGGGAGAATTAGGGTCACTATGTGGGTTATAGGGCGTATTAGCCTATTTACTAAGTCCCACTGACACTCCAACTAAGGATCTATTATACAGAGATTCTATAGGCATTGTATTCCTGTATCCACTGTATGATTTCAACCCTAAACCCTGTACATTAATTTTCCCGTGTCCCTTACTAACCCCCAGCAAGCATTCCTGAGGATTCGTGCATTTCGGGCTACAGGACGAAGGCGCTCATGTGATCCGCTATAACGATCATTGGTAATCTAGGTTTCGGGTTGGTCAGGGGGACTTCCTAAGTAGGTTAATGATAGGGGGTAGTTGGGTTCATTATATGGCTTTCCGGGTTTATAAGTCTACTTACCAGGGCTATAGTGATCACTGGTGATCTAGGATTGGGGTGACTCATGATTGGCTTCCAAGATCATCCTAGTTCTCTTGATTTGGAAGCCGGAAGGGTAGGAGGAGGGTGTAGGTTGATACCCCTATATGGCTCCTGTATCCAGGTACCAGTGACTAGTGCCTTCTTCCTGCTTCTTGGGTCTTTGACCCCGCGTGGGGCGCCAACAACCGCATGAGGATGCTTTCAAATCCCAGTTCATCTTCATCCGGAAGGGCCCATGTAAGTACATGGCACATACTTAGGGTCCAAAGGCGTTCCCCTGTAGATACTCTGGGGCCAAGTATATGCTATAGAGCTACATGGACCCTCTGTGCATGGGGATGCCCCTTCCGATGCAAATCTTGGGGGCTTCATGAGTTGATGTTCAGCTGCTGTTACCTTGGGGCTCTATGCCCACAGATAATGCCTAGATCGGGCCTAGAAGCTACTTGGACCTCTTAACCGTAAACTCTCAAAAGCCGAACAGGAGTTTCAATATTGTTTTCCAGTTCCTTTTTCGTGTGACTGTCCACTCTTCAGCCTCAGGGTTAGGCTCCTGTAAACCCGAAACTCTTAACCCGGAACCCTTAAAAAACTAAACCCCAAACCATCAACCCTAAAAAAACATCCTAAAGAACTAAACCTTAAATCAGGAGTCGTAAGCTCCAAACTCCAAACCGTACACCCCAAAGCCTAGACCGTAAACGGGTCGAAGTTGAAAACTGGCTGGGTGATGCCTGTCTCCAGTCCTGGGGTTGAGTTCCGAAAAGGAAGCACTATATTGTAGTAGTTTCCATTTTCTTTTCCATTATCCCTATATGACCCCCGATATAATATAGTAGTTTCCATTTTCTTTTCCATTATCCCTTTATGACCCCCAATATAATATAGTAGTTTCCATTTTCTTTTCCATTATCCCTATATGACCCCCAATAGAAAGCCACCGCGATGTGGAGGTTGTCAAAACTGTGGGTTTGTTGGGGTCCCTCTCATGCGAACCCTGATATTCAGATATACAGCTATCAAACCCTATGATCCTAGAAATTCAGCTGAAGCCAGGATATTACCCATCATGAAGTCGGTGACGCCCATCGCCGGGATGTTGCTGATCATGCGTCTTACCTGAAGATTCCGCAGTGCATACATGCATACACATGTATCAGGAACCTCCTTGTATGCTTTTGTGATTGGACTTCAAAGCACCACCCGAAACCCTACAAAGACAGACGCACAAACCCCAAGCCGCATAGAACCTGAAACCTGTGAACTCAAATTTCAATTCAATGGTTTTGTCAATTTCCCGGCTCCGGAGAGCTTTGCTGCTTTTGTATATTGGGACAGCAAGGGCTGTATGCGTCCTCCAGTGCCTTGCAAATTGCAAGTTAAGAGGCCCATGCCCCCAAGAGCAGATAGCTAAAGCAAACGACTTATTTGCAGAAAGGTATGTACGTGCTCTTGAAGCACTCTTGCACTGAGTCCGCGGAACAGGAACCAAACTCTTCCCCGCCCAAATCCCCCTTGAACCAAGTCACCCGAATCCCAGCTTGAAAACATGGGCATGGTAAGAACCCATGGCTGCATTGCAAGGGATAGCAAAAGAGGACACCCATGGTATCCCATCGTCAGGGACCGACTCGTTGAAGCTTTTGCCAACCTGGTACTGTCAAGTGCTACTTCACCTGCAGCTTCCCAAGTTTTTCCAAAACATGTGCAACGCCTGTATGTACAAGAGTCTAGATTCCTTAAGGGAGGGTTATATCGGGAGTTATACAGGGGACTACTATAGGGGTTATTAAGGGGGATACTAGGAGTTAAGACGATGGCTCATTTGGCACCAAGACAGAACAGACTGTAAACAAGAGAGGCGCGCAGGTGATCATCACCCTATATACCCCGCATACATGAACATATCCACATGTGCCAACATGAGGAAGCCCTTTACCCCACACCTTCAGTCCAAGGAAAGGTGATTAGAATTCAGAGTTATGCCCACTTCAAGGTACAATCTGCTCCAACACTAGAAAAAACAGTTGTGATACTGAGAAACCCAGAGGCGTTCCGTCACCTGACACTTGACACGAGCCCTGCATCGACCCACTATGGTTCCATTATGGTCGTGCAGGCCTCAAGCCTCTTTTCAACAAACCCAAATCCCCAGTCCCAGAGACCTTTACCCTAAACCGCCCAACACAGCCCGAAACTTACAATCCTCAAACTTCAATCCACAAACCCAAAGCCCAAAACCCTAAACCGCCCCACTGCAGCCCTAAAACCTAACCTCGGTCCCTGATCCCAGGGCCCGAAACCCTAGATGCTAGACCATCCACTGCAACCCTAAAATAGTACAATATAGTAAATGTAGTATAATACAGTATAACATAGTACAATATATTTCTTCAAGCGCTAAAAAAGCCTACAGCCTTTGAAGCCCCAGGTGTTCCATCACACTGGCCTTCTTGCACGCCTTCTGGGCGATGGACCGAGCAGACATCAACGCCACTTGGCCAGGGTGGGGGATGTGTGGATTGGCATGGGCTTGCCCCATGATTTCTTATTTGGGCTTCTGATTGACCCTAAACCCTAAACCACTAAAATGTTCAGGATTATCTCTGACTATTTCATCAATATGGACATACTGAAAAACCAGACCGGGAAACCTGGATCCCCATCGCCAAGCCCAAACGAGATGTCATGTTCAGCATATGTGTTCTGCTGCTTCATAAGGGAGAGCCCTTAGCCTTCTCACCCTATGAACCCCCTAATATCGGGGCCTCAATGACCCAATGACTGTTAATATCATCATGACATGGTCCCATTGTCCGTGAAGAGCTATAGTATAGGGCGCCTCCAAAAGCTCTCAAAATGATACGTGGAGTTTTTGTGGCCCCTACTTGGAGGCCCATCGGACTTAGTAAGTACTTTGAACTGGCATTATTATAACCCTATTTATAATTGGAGTAACCCCTATAAGCACATTTAGGGGATTACAAGTAGCGTTATAGGCCCAGTTAAAAGTGGTTACTAAGTCCCATGAGCCTCCAAGTACAGTAGCCCCAAAGGACATCTCCCTGTTCTACACCGTAAATCCTACACCCTCTATAGTAGCCTCAAAGGAAATCTGCATGTTCAACACCCTAAGCCCTAAACCCTCTACAGTAGCCCCAAAGGATATCTCCATGCTTAACACCCTAAACGCTAAAGCCAAAACTATACAGTAACCTCAAAGGACATCTTCATGCTCAACACCCTAAGCGCTAAACCCTCTTCAGTAGCGCCAAAGGACATCTCCATTTTCTACACCCTAAATCCTAAACACTCTACGAGTAGCCCCAATGGAAATCTTCATGTTCGACCCTGAACGCTGGACCCCAAACCCTCCACAGTAGCCCAAATCACATCCCCATACTTCCCACTCTGAATCCTCAACCCTCTCCAAGTCGCCCCAAAGGAAATCTTCATGTTCGACCCTGAAATGAAAATCTTCATGTTCAACGCCCAAACGCTAGGCCCCGAACCCTGCGTAGTAGCCACAGAGGACATCTCCATGTTCTTCACTCTAAACCCTGAACCCTCTACAAGCAGCCCAAAGGAAATCTTCACGTTCACCACCCTAAACCCTCTACAGTAGCCCCAAAGGACATCTCCACTGTCAACACCCTAAACCCTAAACCGTCTACAGTGGCCCCAGAAGGAAATCTCCATGTTCAACTTCCTACGCCCTAGACCTTCTACAGTAGCCCCAAAGCAAATCTCCATCACCCTAAACCGTAGCCCCAAACGAAACCTCCATGTTCAATGCCCTAAGCTCTAAGCCCTTGACCGTAAACTCTAGTCCGCAAAGGAAATCTCCATGTTCAACATCGTGGTGTTGCTTTTCACTGGAGAGCAGTTTCTCAGCGGGGACGACCTTAAGCTGCCGCTCAACTGCAGTCACTGTTTTGGGTTTTAGGGTGTTGGAGTTTAGGGCTTATAGTTCAGGCCATCAGGCATCTGGGAGTTTATCAAAAGCAAGGGTCTTTAGGGGCGCGACGGGTTGATAAGGATTATAAGTGGATTTTGGTATCTTTTTTGGGGGGGTGGCTTTTGTGGAGGTGATTCTGACAAACTCCCTTCTTGTAGCTAGAGCTACAGTCACGTGATTGTGAGGACGGATGTTGAATGAGATGGGAGGGGGGGAAGAGGCCAGGGTTCTGCAAGGGCAGGAGCAGTGGTCAAATCGAGCATGACAGAGCCTGAGTCTTGATCATGGCTTACCTCAGGCACCAGTTCTTCAACTTTTGCAAAACTAGGATCAAGTATCTCCCTCGGTGTGAACTCAGAAAGGTCAGACTGGCTAAGCTCAGGCAGTTGAAGCATTGGTACTGGATTTGGACTGCAGAGACTCCCTGGGTTTGAGCGTGTCATCAAACGGCTTGCTGCTCACAGCTTCATTTGAACAGCGGGTATGGTAGCGTGTTCAAGTATTGTTCAAGGAGGTTTTGTGAATGGACCGCAACCCCAGTTCTAACTGCACACCTTGAAGCCTGAATACTAATATCCCTTGCCCTTCCGAAGCCCTAAACCCGAAATCTTTCCCAGGATGTCTCACTGTTAGGTCCTAAGGCTTCAGGTTTACCCAAGAGTAGGTACTCAGGCCCCAAACCCGAGAGCATTTGTAGGCACCCACCTGCACCTAAAGTATGTACTGTCTTAGTAGTAGGAAGTCACCCAAAACTCTAAGCGGTGGCTGAGGATGCCAGAGCGGGAGAAGATTTCGATCATCCTGCTGTCCATAGGCGCATGCGATGAAATCGTCAAAGATTGACTTGGCGGTGGGGGTCTAGGCTAAATCGGAATGCCTTAGCACAGAGGCTTTGATCTTGGATGGAGTTATGGAGTTCAAATACTGGTTGTTAGTAGGACATATGGGAAGATAATCCCTAGACAATCCCTGTATAATGCATTCCCTTATTTCCTATTAACCCTAAACCCAACACCCTAAATTTTCCGTTGTTCCCTACTAGCCGCCAGTATGTTTGGATGCAGTGTGGGCGTCAAGCTGGCAAAACAGTGCACATGATCTGGCAAGGTGACCAGGGCACTAAGAAACCAGGGTTTGAGGTCTAGGGTTTAGGGTTTAGGGTTGTGAAGCCTACCCCTAACAATCTAAATATCCCAATGTAGGTTTGGGGTTCATGGTTTGGGGTTCAGGGTGTAGGGCTTCCCGACTTGCAGTTCCAAGGCTGCATCATTTTTCTGAAAGATGCCCGCGCGGCATGCCATTTTTTCGAAGACGTAGAGCATCTTCAAGCAGTCCCTGCCTTCCCGCCCTACTTCGAGGGTCAGGGGGACTTAGTAAGTAGGTTCATAATAGGGATAAGAAGGGTTACTATATGAGTTATAGGAGTTCTTAACCTACTTACTATTTGCCCCTGACCCTCCAAGGAGTCCTAGTTTGGCATGATGGAAAGGTCTATGAGCTCAAGAGCCTAGGCTATGGTCGTTGTTGATAAGAGTATCCCTAGGAATCAAAAAAGCCCAAAGTAGGTACTATTTACAGAATTTCGGGCCCAATATAGATATTGTTTGTACTATAGACTTGGATCCCGAAACCCTAAGCCCTAAAGCCTAAACCCTATATAATCCCCCTACATAACCCCGCAGTATTTATAGACTTGCATCACTAGGGTATGACTAGATTAAGCCACCAACGACGGGAAGCCTATGCTGCGTTCGCAAGTCCCTATTACATTCCTGAGAGGGTCCATGTACCCCATAATTTAGGCCCCTTTAAAGGGAGATATTAGTATATGGGGGTATATAGATATATGGGGGGGGTATACAGGGTTAAGGGGTCAAGTACACAATAAGTAGGTACTTAGGTTCCGGGTAATGGTAGTTGTAGGTTTTGGTACAGGCCTCGGGTAAGTATATGACTATGGAGTACTTGGACCTTTGGGGTTCTATTTGGTCGAGGGAGTATTGCGCCCTATTTCCAACATCTTCTAGACATGCCCTACGGCCTCACAACACAAAGCTAGAACACCCTAGCCCAAATATACCAATCCTTGTAAGCCCCGGGTTTTGTGCTGCAGGCGGAGTGTTCATCTTCCTCACGTGTACCATCAACGTGTTCATCGCCGTTCTGTGTGAGTTACTTGCTTGGAGGGTCAGGGGGACGTAGTAAGTACATGGGTTAATAATGGAAAAGGAATCTGTGTCATTGAGGGTTTAGGGTTTTGGGTCAGGGGGACGTAGCAGGTAGGTTTAGGACCCCGATCACCCATATAGTAACCTTAATTATCCCCATATGATGAATCTACTTACTAAGTTCCCATGACCCCAAACCCTAAGCCCTAAATAACATATAGTAGTTTCTGTTTTCTTTTCCAGTATTACTAAGGGTCGCCTCCGGTGTCCCAGTCTTTTGGGCCTGTTGGCCTTCATTTTGGCAGCCCGAGGCTTTGAGCACCGTTATGAAGCGAAAAGGCTCGTAACCATTCACTTAGGAGGACCCCCACTTGGTACTAGTGGTATGGTAGGAATATAAGAGGACCCTAATATGACCCTTATTATCCCTTATCGTCACTACTACTGCGTGGGAGGTCCACCTAACCATTCACTAGTGTAAGCTCTACGATGTAGTGCGCGATGTTGGCGGCAAGCTTCCAAAATCAAAGGTCGCCTGTTTAGGGGTCCACAGGCCAACCCGCTGTGCAGGGTGCGCAGCCCGCATCAACCGTTCAGAGGTCTCCAGGCTACAAAAGATATAACCTCGAGGGTAGGCGGCAGGCTCTCTGGAAGCGAGGCCTTGGATGCACGAGGGAAAAAGACATCGAAATGTAATTCCCTGCAGAGTGGATACAATTTAAACCTGGGGTGTTCCACAACCAGATCATGTTTTACAATCTTTCGGAACTGGGAGCTCGGTACTTCAGGCATGTTTCAGGGTCTAGGGCTTAAGACTTGCCACTAAGTTTCTGTCAACAGGTCCTCGTAGAGGTTTTCGCTGTGTTGCATCTGACCCTGCACCCTACACCCTAAACCACTTCGGCTTAAACCAGAACCCCCAACTCTGCAAACAACGAGGCCCGCCCTCCCCGAACAAACAATGGACGCCCGAACAAGCAATGGACGTCCAAAACCGGCCCTGCAGAGATGTTTATCCCCGTAAAATTTTGGAAAACAAGGATCTGTGGGCTTCCATTGTCTTTGAGCATCAATCCTTCGCTCTACCCCGTATAATATTCCAAGAAGCACCTAATACTCCTCATTTGCTCCCTGTAGCTGTTTGTACTCATCACTGTGGCACGTGCGTATCACCTTGTCCAATCCCTATACAAATCCCTGTTTCTTGAGCGTCTCAGGTGCTACGACCAGGAGCAGGAGCGAATGGCCTGGACCCTCAGACGGGATGTAGAGTTTCTGAAAAGTGGCGGCCTTTACTTGCTTGTGGCAGTTTCCATCGATGCGTGGATCCCAATGTAGACCCCCAAGGTACTATAGTCCTATGATTGGGATCCTTAAAATGCTACCCCTGCTTTTCCGAGGCCTCCCTTTTGCTTGCTAGTAGGGAATGGAGTGATGTTAAATTCCTACCAGACTAATGCGGGCTTATATAGGGGTTACTATAGGGATCCATGGCTCAATGCCGAAAGGCTTAGCGACCCTAGGGGTTTAGGGTTTCGGCCTTCCATGGTAAAGGTTCTGCGTCAGAAAGTTTGAGAAGCTTCCATGAGAGTGATTGTTTTTAATCAACAGGATGCCCTGATCCATACCTACAGAGGGTACATGTAAAAAAAAAAGTTCGGCGCTTTTTTTCAGTTTGTGTAGTTTCTTATTTGGTGTGCATGACAGTCAGAGGGGAGAACAGATGAAGTCATCGACGATCACTGCTCAAAACAAGATTGTAAGGCTTCCCGTGCCGTGAGTCTACTTGGATGTTTCAGACCAGTTCCTTTCTGGGTAGGAAAGCAAGCAACATGCAAGCAGAAGTAATACGGAAGCTTAGGTTTTGAGTCAGGATATTCCCTCATAAGCCCTATCGAATCGCATTATACTACCCCCAAAACCAATTACCTTTATTTCGGTCCGTAGTTTGATAATCCCCGATGTAGACTGAGATTATATCCTCCTTTCAGGTATGGTATTCTAAATACTTGAACCAGGTTCAGCCACCAAAAACACTTCCTATGAGATTTGTCAGCAAATTAGTGCCAATTATATTCCCTGACAGACTTCTAGCAGTACGAAACAAGCCCTTCAAGCTTCTACATTCAAAGTAGCATGAAGCTGGCTCCCAGCCACTGTTTTCATCAGATCAGATGGCAGTTTCCCAAAATAGGGGGATCCCACTATAGACCCCCAAAATATCATGATTCATATTATGGGAACCCCCACAATGGTACCCCTAATTCTCGGAAGCTCGCAGATGTCAACACCCATCTGAAAACTATAAACCCTATGACCCGTTACCGCTGAACCCTCTGAAGTCCTACTGCGGTTTAGGGTTTAGGGGTTAGGGATTTGGGTTCCTTGTCAAACTATAGCAGCTCCATCTGCCCTTCACGCACGTTAGGTCTGCACTTTCTTGAAAGAGCGCGCGAGAATATGCGGCAGACCCAGATTTGCCTTTGAACTGGGCCTTGTGCAGTTGTAGGGTTGTGGGCTTGTGAATGGCTTGGTTGTCAGCCAGCAACTGAGTAGTATTTTGGGGGGATACCATTGTGGAGATACCCTCCTTTTGGGTAGAGTATCTTACATACAGAATATAACCTTACTTGATTCAAGCGCAAAAAAAAGAGATTCCACTGTTGTAGGCGAGCTGGGGCTGGCATCACCCAGGCTTCCCACTCAACCCTAAATCCTAGGGCTTCACGCCTGTGAACGCACAGGTAGTGGTTACTTCCTGCGGCCGAAGATGCAGTCCACTGGCTTCAGCGTCCTGAAGCAGGCTAAGCTGTGGTAGGGGTAACAAAAAAAGACAATGGAACTACTATAGTGGGGTTAGTAGGGTTTAGGGATTTGGGAGTTTCCCAAAATTGGGGGTGCCATTTCAGGGGTCTCCATGTCAACGCCTATAGCCTATAGTATTTGGGGTTCTATACTGGCATCCCCCGATTTTGGGAAACTACCGTATGGGGATTAGGGTTGAGCGGGCTAATGGGGTCTAGGGATGTAGGTTTCAGGCTTTAGGGCCTTAAAGGGTTCACAGTTGTATGTAGTCTTTTTGTCGCAGTCTGTGTGGCCGATTTTGAATTGCCTTCAGTGATGCTCCCATCAAAAAACTGTATATAAAACCCATAAGCTCTGAAGTGTCGTTGTTCTAGGGCCTCTGAGCTTGTGTAGGTTCATCGGCTTTCCCCAGCATCGCAACATCTCAACATGTTTCTACTCAATAGATGAAAGGAAAACAAAACATGTCATCATTGTTATTGGTATTGTTACTATTGGTGTTATTAGTGGTGATGATACAACTATTCAGAACTACTGTATCGGTACTAGTATTATTGTTGGTGTTATTGTTAGTGTGTGTGTGTAAGCTTTACCGTTGGAAGCCTCTAAGGCTATTGGTGCCTAGGGCTTGGCCTACATTAATTGTGATTGCCCATGTCGGGGGTACCCCTTGTTTATTATCAGCAGGCTGGTAGGAGGGCGTCAGAAGGGGTCAGATTTTTGCTCAACCAAGACGTGCCTTGCTTTGCACTTGTCCCCTTAGCGCCTGTTATTGAAACATGGTACTCCTGATCATGCAGGAAATACGCAAGCTGACCTGGTGGCGCTGGATCTTGCTGATGGCATCTCGACCTGATTTGGCCTTGCCCCATGTACTGAGGCCGAAAAAAGCCTGTGACTAAATGGAATTAGTCCCCAGAACCACAGACCATAACACTTCCTGTAGTTCAACCGCTGTGCTGGGATAGTCAAAAAAACGTATTCCCGATCAAGGGCTCTCTGACGCCCAGCGCTTGAATCCCAAGTCAGCAAGCCCATCCACCCCAACAAGTTGATGAAACCTAAACGCGGGTTTCCCGAAATTAGGGGTACCTTTTTGGGGGATCCCCATAATAAGGACTATAGTATGTTGGGGTCTATATTGGGGTCCCCCTATTCAGGGAAACTATCAAATCACAAAACCAATAGGGCCCAACCCATATGGGTGGTTGTCAAAATCATGGTCCTTTTTGGGGTACGCTAAGTATTAGGTGCCGTATTATAATAGACATCCAAAAAGGGACCATAATGTCGACAACCACCCATATTTTGGATTGGCTTTGACTCTGCCCTAAACCCTAAACTCTACACTCTAAACCCTAAACCCTACACCCCAAACCCTAAACCCCAAATCCTAAACCCCTGAGGCGTGCCTCGTTGTTTTGTACGCTGTGACGCTTTATCTCATCTCAGAGGCTGGCATGTTTCGGGTAAATGGTTATAGGATTTAAGGGGTATAGGGTTTGGGGAGTTTAGGGAGTTTTTAGTTGTTGATTTATGGCTTACAGTAATTGAGGAGTTGCGAGTTGAAAGACTTAGGATTCAGTGGCCTGGGGTTTAAGGTTCAGGGCTTTGCTGTGCTTTAGAGATTGGATGTCTGGTGCGGGAGGCAGGACAGAGGGTTACTACGGCTGCCGCCATGGTGACTATACTCTGTACGTTTACTGCTGTCTATCACCTCGTCATTGAGATTCATGCCGTATGGCTAAGGCTTGCTTCAGACTTCTCAGTTTAGCTGCCTAGCATTTTTTCGTTTTGCATGATCTCCAATAGGCGGGGCTTCAGTTTTCAGGGCAAGCTAGGCATAGTGGGCCATGCAATGGGAATAGGGCATATCGTGTAGGCCAGGTTCAGACATCGATGACCAGCCAAGCCCAGGGGCTCCAACTTGCCCTTCAACACAGAGTTGTGGGTTCAGGGTTTAGGGTTGAGGCAATAAGAGTCAGAATTCGGCAGCGAGCACAGGCGCCTGGTGACGTCCTTTCGTTGCGACTTCTAACTGTTAAGCTGTCATTTCCTTATCTCCCTTCGATAACTACAGTATGATCATGATGTTCCCTCTCATGCCATTCTAATTCTTTAGGCCCCTGAAATGAATAAGTCCATAACCCATGTCAAACGTTGCGGAGGCAGACATTGTGACTGCCTGGTTTGGTGTGCTTTGGCCGCACTACGAAATTACGTTTTCTGCTATGTCCGGTTCCTTTGTTGGTGAGAGATCTTATATGTCAAGGGTTCTATTTTATTGCGGATTGGCAAGGGGACCCTACCGTTCAGGATTTTAGCTTCAAGGGTTCGGCCCTGGTGTAGGTCCGAGCGTTCATTATACAATTAATACGATTGTTTTCTTGCTATACAGCTCGCACTATTTTTTGTTACTACTGTTATATCGTTTATCGCTATTACCATTATTGGCCACCAGGGGTGTGGGGTTTTGCAAGGCTGAGAGTCTGGAGTCTGGTATCACGCAGGGAGGGGCCAGGATTGTGAAGGGCTAGGGTTTGGGATGCAGATCGCGAGTCTAACAGTTCAAGATTCCAGAATTTTAGGCAGTTCAGTTTTTCAAGGTTTCAGAAGTACGAATGAGCTTTATTGTTCCAGTATATTTGAAAATCATCGTTTTCATGGCTTCGGAAGAATGAACTTTCTTGTATTTCTGTTTCTCTGTATACCTTAGTGACTATAAGGGATGTCAGGGATTATGTTAGTGTCCTCTCATGTTCCGATTTTACCACTATAACACGGTGGGGGGGTCCTCCTAATGTATATGGGAAACATTGCGACCTCGCGTCTCAGGGGGTTGGGAGAGACATTGCAAGCCCAGCCGCATCTTGATGAGCGCGGGGGCCTGTAAAGGGACATTCTGTAAAGTAAGTAATAGTAAGCAATGGTAATACCTAAAATAATTGTAAGAATTGCACGAATCCTAATGATAATAATAAAGATAATGGTAGTAATGGTAATGGCAAGAATGCTTCTAATACCGGTAAATAATAATTCCTCACCCGGCTTCAGCCGTTCTCCTCAGGTTTCCACCAGTTCTTGCTTCAAGCAACAGCCTTTGGGCTTGCATTTTCCAGCCAAAAAACCAATTGTTGCGAGCAAAGCTTTTTGGCTAGAAGCTGATTCCGCGGACTGTACCTTTACAGACTTTACGGTAGCTTCACGCTTGCCAGGCGCTCTTTCACTCCCACATGCGTTAGCGTTGTACACATCAAGCGGCTACACTGGGTGAAGGGGCTTACAGAGGCACAGGGCCACATTTTCGAATCAAGCTGCGCCTGCCTCAGCTACGGGATATGCCATCGAGACATACAGTGTCATATGTGCCGTGGTGTAGCTAAGCCCTGGCTTTTGGTATACGCGGGGACAATCATTCAGTGTAAGATGGCCCTCAACGAAGCAAGTCTGAGGTAGCCTATGACAGACATTCATGGCCCATGCATTCCTTCCAACTACTTGCAGAGTCTCTCTTAACTAGCAAAAATGAACTTACAGCGCTTGTTGCCAAATCTGGGGACTTAGAACCCCCTGGAACCCAGGTAATGGCGGAGTTATAGGCCCCAAATTTGTCATTTAATATGAGCGGGGTTCAAATACTGTTAATGGAGGAAATCTTGCACCACCTTAAGCCCGTAGAGTCCTAGGAATTACCGTAGTTTAAGGCCCCTCGGTGGTGCCAGATTTCATCCTTCAACAGTATTAGGGGGGAAGAGATGATGGCTGATGTCCAGGCGATTTATCCTTCGCTTTCCGTGGGAGCCTGAGCTGGGAGTCGGGCAATGGAACCTGGGGATGACTTAGGGACTTAGGGTTTAGGGTTTAGGATATAGGGTTTAGGGTTCCTGAACCCCAAACGTATGTAGAATAATGGCCTTTTGGGCTTCATTTAGGTGTTTTGGGCTATCATGTTACCTAGTTTTGGGATTCAGGTACAGATCCACAAAGCCTCAAGTAGGCACTTGTTACAGGGTGTCGGGGCCCAATGTGGTAATTTCCGAAAATAAGGGGATCCCCAATCTAGACCCCGAAATACCATAGTACTACCCCCCAAAAAATGTTACCCATAGTTTCGGGAAACCCGCATGTAGGTATTATCTACAGACTTGGATCCCTAGGGGAAGGTCTGAGGAGCGAGCTTGTAGGCATTGAGGGGTAAGTGATGAGGACAACACGCCTGGGGCATGAGGGCTTCAGTCTTCCGAACTTGCGTTATGCCCGCCTGTCGCTTGTATGGTTGCTAGGGTTCGGGATGTTCATGGCCTGACTGTGAAAGGTGCATTTTGGGTGAACATTGCAACAAAGAATGGGTTCCTGCCAACCTCCACGCAGACATGGAACCCCAGATACATTGCTTTCAAACGGATAGTACCTGGAGGGTCAGGGGGACTTAGTAAGTAGGTGAATAATGGGGATAATCAGGGTTACTATATGTTTCAAGTAGTGTTTGTGTGCGGGTTGGCCTGGGAAAGTCTGACCTTTCAATCGCCAGACTTGCGATTTGGTGGGTCACCAGGGAGGGAGGGTTGAAAACTTTCAAGCAACGGGTCAACTACCGAAGCGCTAAGAAGCAAACACAAACAACAGTTCTAGAACGATTGAGCCTCCAACCTTTGACCCTGAAATCCTACAGCCTGAGCCTTTAGACCCTGATGAGCTCATGCGGTAATTTCCATGAATAGGAGTTCGCCAAAATAGACCCCCAAAATGCTTCATGCAAACCCCAAAAGGAAGCCCTATTTTTGGAATCCCTGAAACCTATATAACTACCCCCTAATTGTTGGAAACCCTTGGAAGTATCCCCAGGTGCTTTGCTTTCAGAGCATTTTCCGGGACTGTGCCACCACAAACTGGAAGAAGAGTTATCTCTGGCTCTGCCGTTAGCTCAGACAGACCTCGGTTCGGAAAAGGAATAGTAGAAGCCTGCATGTGGGGTGTTCCCAAAGTCACAGATATGTTTACATATATGCAGATTGCTATAGATCGTTCCTTTATCATATTATTGAATGCTTGGGTGTTGAATTTATTGAGTTATTCCTCTTATATTGGTGGAAGATCCTTTCGACTAAACATATAACTAGATTTGTGTATATGAGTGTATATATATACACACATACACACACAGACTTTGAAACAGTGTTCTGGTGTTCTGGCTATTCAAATATTTTCTGCCTGAGGGCTCTGGATTTGATTGGGCTCACTAGAAGCCAAGGACCGCAAGCAAAAGACAATTAAGTTCCAAATCTAAAGCCAAAAATGTTGTTACTTGTTGCGCTCTAGCTGATGCAAAAACGTGGTGTACGCCACAAGCATTGCATAACATTAAAATCCCAAAGTCCCTTGTTTTGCGATGCCTTTGGAGCAGCCCTGTTTTGGAGCAGTGCTTCGGGGCTTCAGGGAATACCGGGCAGACAAAAACGGCACGCGTTTCTGAGGTCACGAAAAGTCGATCGATGAGGCCTAGCTGAGTGATTGCGGATTCTTTGTGCCAGTCCAGGCAAAAAGCCCAATCTCAGGATTTGGGAGATCCAGGCTAAACATATTCACTGGGGATGTCTCCAAATTAGGCGGGGTTATACGGCTGTATATGGGGAATAATGTCAAATCAAATTGACAAGAAATCCTCATTTTGTATCCGCCAACCGGCTTTGGGGGGATTCCAGGGGCTCTTCGTGGGTAATCTTAAGCCCTAGACCCTAAACCTCCTTGTAGGGTCCCCTACACCCTAAGTCTTAGTAGGTTCAGAACCCCTATCACCCAAAATCCCCATTCCCCAAAGGGTCCATGTACCACACTGGTTCCTATACAGATACTTTG